TCCAATAAAAATATACACACAAGTTTCTTTGCACAAATCGGTCACAGCTCCTATTTGCTCAGGTCTAGATCCACATTTGGTGGAGGCTATACAACTTTAGTCTATGCAATTTTTGAAACTATTTTTAAGGAAAACAATGCAAGAAGATAAACTTGGTTTAGATGATTTGGAAGGGGCCATACAGGTGAGGAGCCCAAGGCCAAGGCCTCCTTAGTTCCTGGATAAATCTGCTTCAGAGACACACAACATGCTATTCCTTAAAAGGGGGAGTGACTGTTAGAGGCCTTAAGAAATTCAATTATTTCTTATGTCTTTAATTTATGATCAGTAATATGATTTTAAAAGATCTCTTGTTTTCATTGAAATGTATATATTTTTTTTGCAGTTGTTATTAAATTTTGTCTTTGGATTTCTAATTCAAAACAGAAGAAAACTCTTGAGCCAATTTCAAGCATGATTTTAAGAAATTATCTCCTAGACACATAATATTTCAGACAACATCAAATATGATAAAGAAGTTTTATTTATAGATAACTCACAAGGTTTGACTGCCATTGCTTTCTGCATTCCCAGGTCAGTGAGTATAACGTGTTCCATATTTTGTGTCTGTTTTCCAGTGTTAAACACGTCAACATTCTGCATCGGAGTCGTAAAAGTTTGTGAGATGGTGCCGATGAATAGCAAGGAGGCCAGAAAAAAAGAACACTGCATAACATGAATTCCTCAGGAAATCAATTAATATTTTTTATGAGCAGTAGTGAAAACACGATCCAGGGTTAGCAGAGTGAGATCAGACTGATATTTGATCCTCAAATATATTCTTTGTTGAGTTCTATCAATGTAAAAATATTATGCGCTGAGTCAAAACTAAAATCTCAGTGCTCCCAAGAATAAGACATTTTATATACCTTCATGTGCAAGACTCTTCACTTGGCCATGTGTGTAACCTTTGATCAGGAATATAAACTCTGTAAAGTCTGCAGTACTTTCAGGTTCCTAATCAGCTTTTTGTGGATCTCCAAACACAGTGTAATCCTGGTGTTCTGAGTTGTGTACTATGTGTGCGGTTAGAATACCATGCATTGTGTCAGTATAGAAAGGTGCTTAAATATTTTTTGAAGAGGTCTTTGTTGAAGCAAGGTAAGCAACTCTAAAATGGGGTAAATGGTGATTAAAACTGGAAAACAAAAATGATAGTTTATTCACATTACTCCTACATGGTTAAGATTCACTCACTCATTTATTCTATTCCATTCAATCATTCATTCATTCAATGAATGTTGAACTCCAAATGCATGATTTACTGAGGAGAGGAGTGTGAAGACTTGGGGCAGGAAAGGAAAGACTTGAAATCAGAATGTTTCAACTTGAATCCTGGGAGGTACTTTCAAATAAATCTTTATAGTGGTAATAAATTGCTGTATCCATCACATGTCTGTCAGGTCTTTCCTCGATGGACTGACATTATCATTTAAATGGAAATCTTTGCCTTCCTATTAGCTGATATACATTGTTCTTCAGCTGACAGATAAGCTAGAGATACGGTAAAGCAAAGTGTCAGGGAATCTGATTTTCCAGTGGACGTTCTTACATGTTTGAACAAGAGGGTTATAAATACTAACTGTAGTACTTATTTTAAAGAAGCCCAAGTTAATCAAGACATGGAAGTCTGTTCCTTGAGATAGAAACTACATCCAAGAGCAACCAGAGGGATGTGTGGATGGCCACCCAGGCACACAGTGACGGGTGGAATGACTAGATTAGAACAATAACAGCCTGCAGCCCAAGACTTAGGTGTCCAGCGCTGGATATCAGTGGCAATGGGCATCTCACAAGGTATGCTAAGATTCAATTTTTAAATCCCATGAATGACAGAAAATTTGGTTTTCAACCTTTTTATACATGAGATCCTTTCTGTAACAGCAAACATCTCTTGCACACCTACATAGTAAGAGTTGTGCTCTTTGTATCTGCAAATAGTTGAGGAAAAAATTAAGCACAGGTGGAGTCACAGGTATCTTACAATAAACCCATGAACCATACCCTGAGAACCACTAGAGTTGATATCTAGGGCATCTTCCACATCCAAGACTCCATAATTCTTCGGTAGCTTTGCTACCAGTGACTTTTCCTTGAACACTGTCTAGGATGAGGCACTTAGTACTTCTGGGGCAACCCATTTTGTTCTCGGTTGTCCACAATGTAGAGCAAAGAGTGAGAAGAGATTCATCTTCTCTGGCTTTTATGTACTAGGCCATGTTCTACCTCAGAAGTAACGTAATCTAACCACAATTTCTTTCACAGGACAGCTTTCCACTACCATCAAGTCCAGAGAAGATTGGCAGCTTACAAAGACGTACAAACCACAGCAAACAGCACACGTTAGGAGAAAGGGAAGAGAAAGAAGGAAAAAAGTAAAGCCTTGAAATGAGCTTCCAAGGGCATTCTTAATTGACCGACTGATAGGGTTTTCCTCTGAAAGTTGACTGCCAGAAAATCTAGAGCTACATTTCTACATTTCCACATCGTTTCATTTCGTATTCATAACAACCTTATACATGATTACTTATGTGTACCCTACCTTAAAGATGAGGAAATTGAGAAAAGTTAAGGCCACACTAGTAGTTTGTGGAGTCCGGATTTGAACTTATGACATTCAATCCAACCTCCTTTTGAATCATTATGGAATTCCTTTAGCATTTAAGGTGGGTTAACATCCCTCTGTAAAAGTTTGAGATTCGATTAAAAACTGCAGTGATGATGAGGTCTACTGGTCCCTGCTGAGCAGCTACAGCTGTGGGAACTGACGTTCGCTTGCAAAAGAGTGTGAAGACCTGGACAGAAGAAGACGGGGAGGGAGAGGAAGGCATAAAGTGTATCCTTTAGAAAATCATTTCTCTCAGAGCTCTTTTTTAACTTCTTCAAATTGCAAACCGTGGTGGTTTAAAATATGCCCATAGATTCTCTGACACTCTTTCTAGATGGAGCCAAATTCCCATCCCTTCCGTTTAAGAGTGAGCTGGGTCTAGAACCTCACTTTGAATGAGTAGGGTAAAGCGGGAGGGACAGTGCGCAACTTTGGGGGTGGTAGCTGGATGCAACCTCCTGAGGGACCCTGGGCCAGAACTGCCCAGCTAAGCCGCTCGTCTGTGAGTCCTGACCCTCAGAAACTCTGTGAGATGGTAAGTGTTTGCCATGATAAATTGTTAAAATTTGGGGTTATTTGTTACGCAGCGATAGATAATGAATACATGAAACAACAAACACACCTCCCCCAAACAACGAAATAGAACAAATCAAAATAAAATAAAAACTCATTCCCTAGAATTGCCAGAGGACGGAGAAACATCTGAATGTATCTATCCTCCTTTGGGTAAACTTTTCTCCCAAACTCTCTTTACCCAAAGATATCAAAGCATTTCAATTCACTTCTAAAGTAATTTCTCATGATTTGGAGCTTAAATATGGATGTTATTTACTTACAATTTACTTATGTAAAAAAAAGGGGGGGGGAAGTGAAGATATTCAAAACTTAAAATTACATGAAACTTTCTTAAAGCAAGGTGAACAACCGAATGCAGAGTGTGGGCCAAAGCAACTCTCCACCTCCTCACAAAAGTTAAAATCTTAAAATCCAGCTTTAGAGATGGGAACAACAGTCAACAATTAGCAGGCAGAAGCATACAATTTAGACATTAGTTAAAAACAATTACTCAAAAACTCTTTTTAAAAGAAAACATTTGCTAGCATTTTGAGCCCGGGATTTGGCAGCCTGCTCAGGCTACACACAATTCCGGCCGATTAGACAGTAAATGGTGACGGCTAAGGCTGGAAAGTGTGGTTTGATTTCCATAATTTCTAAGGACAGCAAACATCAGTTTGAGTTTTCACTCCAACACAATCACGATTATTAATCCAGCCGCATTTGCTTCCAGTTAGGCGTCATGCCATCTCATTATTTTCCAACTTCCACTTGCTCTGCTCCTTCGCTCGCCCCAGGGTTTTGCAAGCCCCACGGCGGGACAGATAGGAAGGCCGACTAGAGGGAACAGATGCCAACCCGTGTGTAGGTGATTGACGGCACCCAGCCGAAAACCCGGGGCCCGGGTAGCACGCCTCTGCTACCCGCGCCCCTTCCTGCACGGAGCTTCTCGTGAAGCTGCGATTTTAAAAGAAACGTTTCCCATCAAAATTCAATAGCCTTTTATAAGCACATACGCTTTCTTCCTTTTCCAGCCTGCACGAAATTTAATATCAGGATTATTATCCATTTGTCATTTTAACCTATAATCTAGTAAGCCTTTCTGTGTTTGAGTTATGCTTCCTTCCCGCCTTCCCGCCGGCTTGCAGCCATAGATTCATTCCAGAAGCCGTCTAGGGCACATGGTTTGACCTCTCAGAACAAACACTTCCCATGTTTCTTACTCTGCTTCCCTAAGAGGCACCATTAGTTTTGCTCGTCTCCACTTAAAATGATTTTCTACGACATAATAACATTTCAAGTTTTCCATATTAATCTTCATTTTTATTTCTTGAAATACTCAGGCAAACAATGTCACTAAGACATCGCTGATGGGAAATTCTCCTTCTCCCTCACTCCTGTCTACTTAAAGGCAACTCTGAAGAGAGAATACATTTTTTTTTTCCTTTGAATTAGCTGAGCACTGGAAGAAAAGTTTAAAAGTCTGGCCTACTGCTTCACAACGTCTTAGAGTAAATATTTCGATAAGCAACCAAAGCAGAAAATCTGAATATTACTCTCTCCCCTAGAATAAAAATACATACTTTTTTTTTTTTTGGAACTGGGGCCCTATATAAAGAATTCAAAATCTATTTTCTTATACATCAGTTCAAAGATGCAGGAGTCCAAAGGGAAAACCAAAAATAATAAAACTAAAACTAAATGAAACTAAAAATAAAAATATAATCCCGGCCCACTTGCAAAAGCAAACACATACACCAGCAAACGCCGCTCGCGGCGGGGCGCAGGTGGTACTCACCCCACAGCCCAGGCCGCTGCCCCCTTCGCAGGTGACTTCCCTCTGGCCGGGCGCAGGCAGCAGCCCCGCTCCGCAGCCGGCGCGGGGGCACAGCACGCCGCCCATCTGCAGCACGCACTCTTCCGCCCCGTACTGCTGGTACCGGTCGTACTGCAACGAGCAAAGAGCCACGGGAGCTTTCCAAAGTGATCACACGTGTACTAAGATGCACTGTTTCAGCCAAACCGTTGATAGTCGGCGTGTGGGATTTCTTGTTTAGCCAGTTTCAGTGACAATTCTGCGTGTGTGCGTGTGCATGCGTGTGTGTGTGTGTGTGTGTGGAGGGGGATGATGGAGGAGGACCAGGTGTGCTTTAAGTAGAAAAAAGTCTTCCAAATTTAAACTGGCAAGATGGATGCGTGAGGTGTTTATTCTTTGCAATTTTGCTTTTAGAAAAGAGATTTCCTAAAGTTTGGTGTTTTGTGGTGCTGCTTCCACCAACTGTATTTGAACACTCTTATGTTATATAAAATTTAAGGGACATGTTTATATATTTAGAAAGATGGACACATAAAATACCATTATCAAGCTTATAAAGCAATTTGTTTTCATGTCTCTGAGATTCTACAAGGCTTTGCACTCGTTTTGAAAACAGGCCCATATTCTACCTCATGATGATGGTTGGCCGCCCAGGAGGCGAACACCCTTTCCCTTTTGTCATTAACCTGAGTCCCTCGGCATGATTCTCTTTACCTCTGACTTCACCTCTTTGTGCCAGTTTTCACAAGCATTCTTTCTGTGTCAGGAAAGTTGTATTGAATTTAACTTTTAGTATGTGCTTCATTCTCTTTTAGTATGTGCTTTGATGTTTTCCTTGTGTAATTTCTAGTATACATATTTTAGAACTCTACCTAACTTCTCAATCCATCAACTTCTCTGAAGTCCCTTTTAAAATTTTATTTATTTTTGTTTTCTAGAAAACAAAATATGTGCGTTTTTCTTTCTATTGAGACAATATCTGTTGTATTTATTTACTTTTGTATGATTTCTTAATAACTTAGTTCACTTTGAAATAGTTATTGTAGTTTTCCTCTGACTTGTGGGCATTCTTTCACTGTCTGGAAAGATGCTTTTCTGCTCCTCATTCTCTTCATCCTTTTAAGCCCTTTGTGTGGGATTTTGCCTTGCTTCTACCCTGTTAGGGTTTTACCTTGGTCTTTGTTCTGTTGCTCAGTTTTACATAAAATTAGCTCTGAAATGTTAGAAAGAAGTAGGGTTCAGAATAACTTTTTTTGGAGACATATATTTATTAAAAGAGCCAAAATAAGGCCGGGCGTGGTGGCTCATGCCTGTAATCCTAGCACTTTGGGAGGCCGAGGCGGGCGGATTGCTCAACGTCAGGAGTTCGAAACCAGCCTGAGCGAGACCCCGTCTCTACCAAAAATAGAAATAAATTAATTGACTAACTAAAAATATGTATACAAAAAATTAGCCGGGCATGGTGGCGTATGCCTGTAGTCCCGGCTACTCGGGAGGCTGAGGCAGTAGGATCACTGAGCCCCGGAGATTGAGGTTGCTGTGAGCCAGGCTGACGCCACGGCACTCACTCTAGCCTGGGCAACAAAGTGAGACTCTGTCTCAAAAAAAAAAAAAAAAAAAAGAGCAAAAATAATGTCTAACTCAAACAATCACCCCTGATTTTTGCAACCACAGAATGATTTTGAATGGCTCCAGATTTTTCTCTTCTGGTGTTTTGGGCAGTGTTCAAAACTATGGGGCTCACTTTCTGCAATCCCCCAAGTCTGCTGCCCCATTTTTAATCGGACTTTCACTTTCCTTTTTCCCTTTTCTGCTCTGAGCAATTTCTCTTCAGTGAGGGGCTTTGTCCTGAGAGGGATCTTTGGTTGATTAAATGTGGTGAGTTCATGGGACCTAAAGTGCTCCAGGCCCTTTAGACCTTATTACAGGCCTTTTGCTCTTATCCTCTGACTGTTTTTGTACATGTCTGCCCTATGTTTGGCATAAGATCTTGACAATAGTTGGTACACACTACATAACTGTAGAATAAATTAATGAAATTTAACTTCATTAAGTGCAATTAATTAAACAATTCTAATAAAATTATCAATGGCAGTGGGAATTAATAACAGCGATTCAGGATGGCTTTAATTTAACTATGTAAATAATTATTTTAAATATGTTGCTTTTAAGTAACTGGCTATTTTCTCGTTTGACAACAGATCTCCAATCTATTTAATTTAGGTAAGCAATTTTACTATTATGAAAAGAGCTTTACTTGGAAGAAGGTAAGTCCAATAACGCTGTACAAATTCTTGCTTATTGCATTCACAGTGGTCTCAAATACTGATGGAATATGTCAAACTAGGTTCCTCTTTCCATTTGTTAGCTAAAGCATTTATACAAAATGACTTTATTGTATTTATTCTATGTATGATAAATTCCAGAGCATTTAAGCATATAATTCCTTTTCTAAAGGAAGACTAGTATTTTAACATATATACCCGGTAATTTCTGATGCATAAGTTCCAGTGTTCTGTGGCACTGTGGGATGACTATAGTTAACAATAATATATTTTATAGTTTCAAATATAGGAGGATATTCAATGTTCCCAACACAGAGAAATGATAAAAATTTGAGGTGATGGGTATCCTAATTTACCCAGACCTGATCACCATACATTATATGTATCATAACATCACTATATACTCCATAAATATGTACAATTATGTGTCAATTTAAAAATTTAAAAAGTGTAAGAAAAAGAAAATTTCAATCATAAAAAGTACACACAATATCTGAAATATACCTACTGAAAGCATTACTTTTTAAATTAACATTGTGAAATTTATAATAAAAACATTTGACCTGGAACCGATAATGTGCTAGCATTTATAGAAACTCAACATACTTAGGAAATAATTTGGACATGTAATTATATATGTCATTAGCAAAGATCCTTATTTATCTGCCTTCAAGATATGACTCACATTTCCATAGATTCCTTTTAACCACTTAATGGCACAAAGTTGAGAGTGCACTAATGGAGAGTCGTAACAAATTATCACCAAGTGGAACAGAATATTTATATCAGTATATAACATATGCAATAGTGGTAAAGTAATTACTAGATGGACTCCAATTGGTGAAAAGGAATATTTTACCCTTGATATTACTTGTATTACATCCAATGGCTTTTTTACTTATCAATATTCAATAGCATTTTATGAACAGAACTAACTTGGAGGAATGTGATTAATTTGTAATGTGAACTGGGTTTACATAGAATCCCTTCTCTTTTTCTTTTTTTGCTCAAGAAACTGAAATCTAAGAATCCATTCTCAAGTAAGCACGAAAGCAGTAAATTATCTAAATATCACTCATGCATGGTTTGTCTTTGGAATGGACAGTGAGCATCTGTGTGTGTGTCTGTGTAGATATGCTATGTCAACCTATGCTAACAGTTTTAAGCTATCATTAAATCTGGTTTGCAAATTTCTAGATATGCTTTTATAAAGTGAATAATGCACAGATAACTAAAATAATTGAGCTGGTTATATAATATTTGCAAAAATTTTTGCAAATAAAAGTTAATATTAATAAAGCATACTACACTGCCCCTAAGGAGAACAATAAAATATATTTTTTTCCTATATTTCATCAGACTATAGCAAAAAATACATTTTGTTAGTGTGCCCTACCTAGGTAGAATCTTGACTCATTGCTATGCTTTATATTTTATTTATTTGGTGAGTAAATTATTCAGCTTTATATGTATACTCATGGATTCTCCTAACAACAGGAAATATTCATTTTAAATCATAAAATTCATAGATGTTTCAATAAACTCATATTTTAAGAATCTACATAATGAGTCACGGGAGAGTATAATGAAATAGGTGTTGTACTTTGTTGGTCTGTAGGTAGTTAGAAGACTTGGGTTTAGGTAGAAAATTGCTCTATAATGAAGCGAAGGTCACAAGTTCAAGTCCCAAGAGGGACCGATGAACGCCCTTGTTCTTGCTGGCTGCTGACTGCCTGGTAAGTATATTAAAGGAACACGAGTAGCCACCTGAGGGGTGTGGCTATGGAGGAACTGTGCCTCGATATCCCTGCCACCGAAGATCATTTAAAAGGCCTGTCCTCTGCAAGAGGGGATGGGCTGCTTCACCCTGATGTTTACTTGGCATGTGCTTTCACAGGAAAAGAAAGCAAGAACGAATCTAAATTTTAAAACTGCAGGAAATGTGAAGTACCGGGATGCCAGGGAAAACTCAAGACTGGGAGGACTGGCAAATGTTCCGCCAAAGGAGTCAACGCTTGCCAGCAATCCTGGAGCTGCACGGCCCCTTTCAAGTCCTCAGAGCACGGGAGGAGGTTGCTTTCGTGCTGTTGTGGTGTTTAACACAGTGTCCTTTTGGGGGCACTCAGGTACAGCTCTCGGGCCTCCTTTGCTTTCCCCCTTGAGTTCTAGTTTCTATGAAGTCTTAGCCAAAGGCATGTGGGGGGCTCCCTGGGGGCGGGGGAGGCCTCTCCCACTCCCTCCTGGAGCAGAGAAGGCCTGATCAGAGCTGCTGATCACTGAAAGACTGCTCTGTGTTGAGCAACTGTGCCAACCCTTTGCCTCCTCAGTCAATTCTCCATCCACCTGGTGAAGTAACGGAGGAGGCCGCAGAGTCACAAGGACTCTGCCATCTTTTGTTGCGCTTCAAATAGACAGGAAACCCGTAACCCCACAGCAGAACTCAGGCTGTGATTCTAAACCCCACCCTTCCACAACACCAAGCTGTCTCTTTTTTTTTTCTTTTCCCCCTTTTATTAAAAAAAAAAAAAAATCAGCTCACTATTCCTTAGTCATCTTTTGGGAACAAATGAAAAATAGTTTATTATAGAACTTCCTCTGGGTTAAAAAAATCTAAAATAACTTTATAGAGGAGAACCAATTTAAGATTAAATCATTTCTCCCTGGTATGCAGAGAATGCTCTATTTTCTATATGTATTAGTTTTTGTTTTTTTTTTAAAGCACTCCTTAAGCTGTCTGTCAGTGATCTTCATTTTCTTTTTCTTCATTTGCAGGTCTTTAGCCTGACAGACTTAGTGACAGTCTCAGAGGTAGTCCCTGCCACACTGCTGTTTTTATTCTCTGCTCTG